TATCAGATGAAAGGAACTTGGCTTTATGCAGGGAATGAGAAGGAGGAATAATTCATAGCTGATTGTGAGAAAGCTGCAGAGTCTGTCTTTTGAAGTCTAGGTGTTGCTGTATCAGTCTCAGCTCACAGATGATAAAAGTCGTAAAATGCACAATAAAAATTATGCTTTTCCAAATTACTTTAACAACTAAAGCACACATACAAAAACGATGCTACAAAAATTGACAGTGAAGCTGTCTGTCCTGCGTTCTTATAGCTGGTAGCAAGCATCCAAATCGTACCCACTACTTTCCTTAGCACCCTTTTCATCAAAGAAGTTTGGATGCAGTGAAGGACACAGACATCTCCCGGATCTGAGACCCTTGAGCAGCAGAAACTAATGTTGCTCTGTGCTTATCATGTGTCAGCAGAAACTAATGTTGCTCTGTGCTTATCATGTGTCAGCAGAAACTAATGTTGCTCTGTGCTTATCATGTGTCAAGCATGGAGCTTATGACAACATCACAAGCAGGACACTGTAAACCCATTTTCCAGATGTTGGATCTGAGGCTTAAAGAAATGGACTTTTCCGAGGTGACGGTGAATGGTGAAGATGGAATTCACACTCAGAACTGATTGGATCCAAAGCCATGCTCTTCCCCCTTTACATGACAATGCCTTTCAAACAAATTCTCGTGTCCAAAATAGATACAATACAACCTCTGTATAGACAGGGAGAAGGAGCCAAAGGTATTTTGCAGTGGAAGTTTTAAGGCCCTTTAAACCTGAAAAAAATTCAGGTATATCAGCAAAATAAACAGGTAAATATCTGTCCCTTAATGTTGGTATTTATGTGATTACGAAACCTCAAATGTTGGGATGTTTGACTTGAAATAAAAAGAAAATAAAACAGCCAATCCCAAAATTTTGATTAAAAAGAAAAGGTCAGGTGAAAAGAAATGCCTTTTGTATTTTCGATGTGCCTTCTCGAGAGCAAATAGCTTTTGCTTGATCTTTTCTGTGCCTTTCTGGTGAGCTAATGATTTTTTTCCTGTCCGTACATGCCTTCTACCTACCACAGAGAGCTGTAAAGATGATGGAAAACACTTGCTTATGAAGGAGAAAATCCTATAAATTGGCTCTTAGCTAAGGCAAAATGTGCAAATATTTAAATGTAAGATGTTCTTTCTTGCCGTTAGTCAACAGATTTAACTTTTCCAACAACCCCCTGCCAAGAAAAGTCAATTCCTTAAAGAGTTGGCAGATATGTTATCATGAAGAAAATAAAGAGGTTTTCCTATATGGCAATGCAAAATTATTTTCTTTCTTTCTTTCTTTTTTTTCTTTTTAAAAATTTCCTTCCTGGAAGAACACCTCCAAATTCAGATGTTTTTCCCATGCAATGATCTAGTAGCGCTAAATCCTATTCTACCCCAAGAAGTTCTGACATTATTGAGTGAAATTTTATTTAGGTTCCTGTTAAAAATATGGAATCAACATTCTGCATAAACCAGAGCCTCTTCAATGCTAGTGGTATAAGGGTTAAAGGTATTGAACTTACCCGGGCTTAAAGTTGTGACCCTCATAATATTAACTATGTGATGTGAGTTAAAGTGATTTAGCTTCTCTATGCCTTTGTTTCTACTCTCGAAATATAATAACATTAATATTTGCCCTGCCTTTGTCATAAAACCAGGTGCTAAATAGTAAGTTAGATGATGTGGTAGATTGTAATGGACTCAGTTGTTTATCTTCCTGCATCCATGTCCCTGTGAAATGTGACTTTGAAACTCCCTTCATCAAGAGATGGATGTTTCTCTATCCCTTAAATATAAACTGGCCTTGGGCTTTGCTTTGGCAGAAATGATCTAATGCCAGTTAGGAGCCTGTTCAACAGCTATGTGAACAAGCCCAGGCCAGCAGAAAGGCACCATCCTGGCTGAGACTACCCTAGGCCAACCAGCCCCTCGACCACACAGATGCATGAGTGAGCCCCGTCAAGAACAGACAACTTGCTGAACCCAGCCCAACTCCAAATCACCAACTGCAGAACTGTTATTTTAAGCCACTGCCTTTGGGCTTTCTTTAAATGTAGTAAAGCGAAATGATGCAGGTGCTATATAAGAAAGCACTTTTCAACCCAGTGCTATGAGGTACAACCAACTTTATCATTGTACTAACTTTATCATAGTACATTTTACATTGTACTATCATTGGCATTAAAGGTGATACTCACGGGTGGTGGTCACCCTCTTCAGGCCAGGGCCCCGAGTATTGTTTTTCACGATGTGCAGAGATATCTCGTACTCTTGCCCCGGAGCTAGACCGGTTTGCCGGTAAGAGGTCTCTGGTCTCCTGAGGCTTTTGGTGATCTCTCCCTCATCTTCCTTATTCTGAAAGATAGAAGCAGCTTGGTGAGCTTTAGAGGAGGTGCCAGTCTCTGTATTTATGTGATTCATTCATTCTGCATTAGTTTGTTTCTCTTATTCTTTCATCTATTCATAAAGCACTCACTATGCACACATCAGTACGTCTGAGAATACAGAGATAATAAAGACGTTTCTCAAGTTCATTTCTGCCTCTCGCGAAGCTCTCTTCACCCCTTCAACATATAAGTCAAATGACAGAATGTGAGAGGCCAAAGGGATTCTTAAGCCACAGGCTCAACCTCTCCTCTGACAGACTGAGGCCTACATCAGAGAAGTAGGGTGATTTTTCTATAGTCACACAGCTCATTAAGTGGCAGAGCCTGGCTTAAATTCAGAAAGGAGGATCCAGGCCTGGAGAGAGGAGTTGCTCAAGTCAGAGATGCCTGGAGGCATTTTGAGGGAGGGATCACTTCTTCTTCTCTTCTTTTCCTCCAAGTAGAGATTTGCAAGACATTGAGTGGCAATCAGAGCCTGGAGATGACTTAACTTCTCTTCACCTAGGCTCTCAGTCCTGAGTGCTGAACTTACCCACTTATTAAAATCACGGGAAAACCAACATCACTTAAAATATAGATGCAATCACACAAGGTGCTCATTAGAGTCTGTCCTCCACCAAAGCTAAGGAAATTGAGTGGATATAAAAGTCTGCAGAACGCTTTGACCATCTTTCAGGTCCTCAAGGTCTAATACCCCTGCTCTGTTGTGCTCCTTACCATATTCCGGAAAATAATCTCCCACGTTTCAAAAGCAATGTCCAGAGGATCCCACTCCACTTCCACAGATGTCTCCTTGATGGACTTGAATTTTAGGCCTCCGGGTGCAGGTAAGTCTGTAAGGAACAGCACAAAGAAGACGTAAGGATGGGGCAGTGTGTGGTGGGGGCAGCACAGCCAGGATTCCACTACACCCTAAGTGGACGCCTGCCATGGTCAGGGGCTGACAGCCAGAGCTGGAGTGGATTGCAAGTTTCTTTGGGATGCAGTCTGCTGAGAGGCATTACGAAAATTAACGTTAGGAAGAAACATGATGTGATATTGGCAATTTCATATGGTTAAACCAAGAATAAGCACAGGCTTTGGAATCAGACAGAGTTGGGCTAGAATTTAAGCTCTACCATTATTAACAACGTGACCTTGGGCACGTTGCACAATATGTCCTGAGCCTCAGTTACTTCACCTGGGAGAAGGAGGTGTATAAATATGCCTGTTCCTTGGGAATGCACTGAGGGTTGAATGGTATATTCCCTGTAGATGCCAGGCCTGGTTCCTGGCATGTAGCACAAGTTCAATAAATGGCATCCAGTGTAATTATAACTAAGCAAGAAAGGGCCAAATTCTAGCCACAGCTTGATTTTCAGGCATGGAGGTAATTATACTGATGCTAAATTCATAAAGGAATAACTTGAATCCTAGTGTTTCCACTTAAAAAAAAAAAATAGACAATGAGCTCCATTGAAAGGTGGTAGAGTGGCTAAGAGTGTAAGTCTGCCAGGACTGCCAGGGTTCAAGTCTCACCTCTAACACTTGTTAGTTGTGTGGTTTGGGATGAGATGCTTAACCATTCAGAGTCTCAGTTTCCTCATCTGTAAAATGGGCTTAATAATAGCTTCTGTCCCACAGGGTTAAATGAGTTAGTCTGTGTAGAGTGATTAAGACAAAGTCTGGTGCATAGTAAACACTTGTTAAGCATTATCTGTAATGATTCTCTCTGGCAGGAAGGATATAGGAGGACAAGGAGGGAGAATTTATATTAATAGAAAATGAGGAATTTCTTTAAGAAACTGTTCAGTGGACTTAACTGGTTTCTGGCTTCTTAATTGGTATAACTAAAAAGAACAACTGTAAGGTGGTGGGGGCCAAGGCAGGGGGCTTATGCACCGGTGGGCTGAGGGCAGGTGAGGCTGCCCGGAAGATCTCTGCTCACTCACACGTGGCCACCCTGGCACTGACGGGAATGCTCTTCTTGTTCTCTAAGATGGCAAACACCCGGATAAAGTACTCCACACCCGGCTCCAGCTCCCGGATGGTGGTGGACGTCTGGTCCCCGGGCACGCGGAACTGCATTTCCAAGCCGTCTGCGTGGGTAGGCGTGTATATAACCAGGTACTCTGTGACCCGCATCTCATTGTCCCAGGCCAGGTTGACGGTCTCTTCTGTCACTTCTGTCACGACGAGGTCTTTGGGAGGTGACACTGGCAAGGATAAGAGAGGACATCTGGGGTCAGTGACGTGCCCTATAGAAATCCCTCTAGGTTTGTTTCCCTTGACCTGTCTCTTCCACTGTCGGCAACAGAGGTCTGAAGTTCTCCCCTTGAAATCCATAGTCTCTAAATTGTAGAGGACCCCCTGCTGTGTCCCTCTTTAGGACCTGTGGGGGCTGTCCGCTAGTCCATCACCTTTGGGCTGATGTCCCGGGTCAGCAAAGTGGCCTTCACTGTTCTGGCTCTTTCTATTTCTCCACGCCCTGGGTCTTCGTTCAGATTCAGGTCACTGGCATGAGAAAGTGCAGTCTGAGCTTGACTCCCAGCTCTGAACTTTCAGTTACACATCCTTAGCACTGGAAGGGTGTTCTGGGCTCATCTGGTCCAACTCTTTCATTTTCTAGATGGGAATGAGGCAGAGGCACTTGCCCAAGTTTGCTTACCTCGTCAAGTTCAGAACTCACATGTCCTCCCTGCTATGCTGGTCGTCTTTCCAGCTGGGCTTTCCTGCCTTGGCCATGTTAAACATGGATCCTTTTATTTATTCCTAGCTACCAATAGCTTTAATCAAGGCAGAAATTCTCCATTATTACAATTATAACACGGGTGGATGAGAGTAGTACAAAGAGGACTCTCATTCAACGTGAGTATCATTGTTCTTTGTTGTGTTTTCATTTAACCAGCATTTAGTGTGCACTTACTATATACTAGTGTTTAGTGTGCACTTACTATATACTTACTACATACTAGGCCCTGTGCTAACTGCTGGAAACAGTGCTTCTTCAGGGAAGCTTACAGTCCTTGGGATAAAAAATAGTAACGAAAGACAATTAAGAGACAGGTCTACCCTGTGGATGTTAGGCATTTAGTCTTTAGCATTTAAAACAGTTGGTTTTATGTAATGTCACCATCTGTTCGATTCAGTTGAATTTTTACTTCCATCCAAAAAGAGAGATTTTGTTTAGTATTGGTTTGAGGTCAGTGGAGAGTAGGAAAGGAGGTTGATATTTAGCAAATGGGAGGTTATCCCTTAATCTACCACATCTTGGGTTCTGGATGTTAAACTCGGTGTGGATGAGTTAGGCAGACTCAAATACCAGCTATGTGATGGACTGACTGTGTGTCCCTGGGACAATTACATAACCTCTCTGAGCAGGTAGCCCTGTAATAACTGAATGACCAGGGCCCCCTCAAAGAGCCAGCATGTGTGTGTGCTTAATATAAACACATTTATACATATAAAGAATGAGAATCAAAGAGTCGGCACGTGTTTGTAAATACACGCACAGCTCTGCAACAAATACTAGGTGTCCACCCAACCGCGGCTGTGGTCACCCTGGCCTGCGCACCAGCACTCACCCTGCGAGCAGTCTTCCCCGGTGTGGCCCTCGCTGCAGATGCAGCGGCCCGAGACGCACTGCCCCCGGTCGCTGCAGTCGTTGGGGCAGGAGCGCTGCCCACAGTCCAGGCCCGTGAAGCCCTCGTGGCAGATGCACTGGCCATCCTCGCAGCGCCCCTGGCCATGACAGTCACTGGGACACCTCTGCTCCTTGCAGTCTTTGCCCATGAAGCCTTCGTTGCACACGCACTGCCCATTCACGCAGCGGCCCCGGCCGTGGCAGTCATTCGGACAGGACAGTTCTGAGCAGTCGGGACCAGCAAAGCCGTCCTCACACACGCACTGCCCGTCCACGCAGCGGCCCCGGTTGCTGCAGTCCCGGGGACATCGGCGATCCCGGCAGTCTTCCCCCATGTAGCCGTCATCACAGACGCACATGCCGTTCACGCAGCGGCCGTGCTGGTGACAGTCATTAGGGCAGCTCATGTCACTGCAGTCGTAGCCCTTGAAGCCTTGCTCGCACACACACTTGCCCTGGACGCAGCGGCCCCGGTTGTGACAGTCACTGGGGCACCGCAGCTGGCTGCAGTCCTCCCCAGTGTAGCCCTCATCACACACGCACTGCCCGTTGATGCAGCGGCCGTGGCCGCTGCAGCCGTTGGGACACTTGAGCTCCCCGCAGTCAGCTCCCGTGAAGCCGTCGTCACACTCACAGCGCCCGTCCACGCAGCGGCCGCGGTTGTGACAGTCGGCAGGGCACCTCTTCTCACTGCAATCCACGCCGGCAAAGCCCTCATCACACACGCACTGCCCCTCCTCGCACCGGCCCTGGCCGTGGCAGGCGTGCGGGCAGGTGAGTTTGCTGCAGTCCTCGCCCGTGAAGCCCTCTTCGCAGTAGCAGGTGCCGTTGACGCAGCGGCCCCGGTCGAAGCAATCGTTGGGGCAGATGAGCTCACTACAGTCTTCGCCCGTGAAGCCCTCGTCGCAAACACACTCGTTCTCCACGCACCGCCCGCGGTTGTAGCAGTTGTTGAGGCACAGGGGCTCACTGCAGTCGTCACCGGCAAAGCCTTCCTGGCACACGCACCGGCCGTCCACACACGTGCCGTGCTCCTCGCTGCAGGGCACGGGGCAGATCTCCTGGCTGCAGTCAGCTCCCGAGTAGCCCTCGAAACAGATGCACACCCCGTTCATGCACTTGCCCTGGTCATTGCAGTCGCCGGGGCAGGCCAGCTGGCTGCAGTCCTCACCAGTGAAGCCCTCGTCGCAGACACACTGCCCGTCCATGCACTGGCCGTGAAGGTGACAGTTGCCTGGGCACTCCGGCTCAGAGCAGTTGGGGCCTTTCCAGCCAGGTTCACAAACACAGCCACATCCTTCAGTGCTGAAGTTGCCCCGGCCACTGCAGAAGGGCCTGGTGTCCAGGCGGCCTGCAACAAAGAGAGCAGAAGCTTTCAGCTGGGCCTGAGCAGCCGAGTTTCTTGGAGATGCCCAGATTCAAACCAGCCAGAGGGTGGTTGCATCCTCAGGCTCCATCTGGCTGGAAACCAGTGTTCAGTGTGTAAAATCAGATGGGACTCACATCCAACTGCATCAGGTAGGAAATCTTAACCTGTGTTCCCCCAAATTACAGACTTGTAGGCAAAGATAGTGTGTGTATATGTATGTAGGAGTGTGCATACGTGCATGTGCCCATGAGTGCATGCGTGTGTGTGTATTTCTGTCCCTGGGGAGAGGATCCACAGTTTTTATTGCATTTGCAAGAAGTCCCACGATTCCAGTATGAGTCACCGCCTAGTGGAAATGCATGACTGGGCTGTGTTGCTACTTCTCCAGTGCCGAGTCAAGGTCAGCACGTAAGAGATGCCCAAGAAAGAGTTTTTGAACTCAACTTAATTCTGACTCTTTAAGGTCAATAGCTGTGCCACATTTGGGAAGGGATTTAGACCCTCTAGTGCTCAGTTCCTCATAGCCCACTTCCCTGGGGTTCCGTCAGAGTTAAATGAAAACATTAAGAGCTCACTCTTGTGCTTGGTGTTGTTGTCTTTGTCTTCTCTCCCAAAGTTTATTTTGGGTGGACTCAAGTTGGTATGTGGGTTTACGTGACCAAAACATTCTAATTTTCCATAACTGAAATGAGGCAGCTAGGGAGTGGCTTTCTAATTTTATCAGTACACCTTTTAGTTTGGCTTTGTCCCCAGAAAACCCTCGTGCCTCTCTCTTTTGTCCCTCCCTATCCTGAAGGCTGAGTGGTGGTCGAGCTGGGAAATCTGAGGCCAGGACTGACATCGCCCCACACTTTGAGACCTAACTATTGTCTCTGCTGGACTTGCAAGAGTCACTAGTCTGATCTCCATGGAGCCTAATGGGAAGAAACTGAAGTTACCTCTATGTTCTCTGTACCTAGGTACAGTTGTGCAAATATTAATATATTTTATTTCCTTCCTGATTTCCTTCCTGACAGCAGAAAGGAAGGAAACTTAAAAAAAAAAAAAAGAGTTGGTTTGAAAAGTGAGAATCTAAATTTGTGCTGTCCAGTATAATAACCAAGGGCCACATGTGGCTGTTAAGCATTCAGTTGTGGCCAGTATGAATTGAGATGTGCTATAAGTACAAAATACACACTGGATTTCAAAGACTTAGTACAAAGGAACAGAGTGTAAAGTATCCATTAATAATTTTTATATTGATTCCAGGCTGAAAAACTGATATTTTGGCTATATTGAATTAAATAAAATAGATGATTACAATTATTTTTACCTGTTTCTTTTCCCTTTTTTTGATAGGACTACTAGAAAATTTAAGATTGCATATTTGGCTCACCTTATATTTTCACTGGACAGCACTATTCTAAACGATTATTTTAACTTGCTATGTAGCATTAATCCTACTCTGTATTCTCATCTGCATTTTGCCAGGGAGTGACAGAAGTAGAAGGCAAACTAAATTATGCATAAAGAAAACTTTAAAAAAATATTGCCTTAGAAACCTAGAGCATGCCCTGTAGAATCATAAGAGTAGTTGACTTAGGGTGGTTCCAAGTACTTTTTGGTAATTTTTTTTTATGAGTGGCAAACGACATAGATTTTCATCTCTGATTTGAAGTTGTTGAAACTCCCGTGGCTCTATCGACTTTAGAGAATGGAGACGATGTAATTCCACAAGATGGGATGCCCACGGGGATGGGGCCCCAGGTGGGAGAGTACGAGCTCTGGAGACACCCAGGCACATTCGCAGCCCCTGTCTCTTATTACTCTTTGTGTCATCTTGTACCAGTTGGTGAACTTCCTGGAGTCTCAGTTCTTAGATCTGCAGAAGAGAGAGCTAAACCTTATCTTACAGGGTTGTTGGGAGAATTAAATGAGATAATAATCACAATACCTGGTACACCGAGGGGGCTTGGTTCATGAATGTGATCATCCTCCTCACTGCTAAATTGGAACATTTTCCCCAATTCTCATAGCCTCAGCACTACCACAGACAGCACTGTGCATTTGTAAGAACACTGGGGTGTGAGTAATTCAGACACTCATTTCAGGACCTTGAGGAACCCCATCTTCCTCCTGGGCCTCAGTTTCCCTATTTACTCCTCCAGCCCCAATTTGGCAATGGGGCTATATCAGTACCTATCAGAGAGTTCTCTTCAGGGCAGAAGTTTCATGGTATATTCATAGGTTTTTGGGGTGGAGAATGGGTAGATTTCATGGTCAAATAAGTTTTAGAAACTTAGAATTAAAGTGAAACAGGGTTTTTCAAATCAGGGCTTCTCAGAGGCCTGAAAATTCCTCTGAGAAACACTTCTCACTCTGAGTACTCCAAGCAGGAGAGAGGTGGCTACATTCTCCACATTTATTTGACCATGCAATCTCTTTGTAATGACCACGTCATGAGGCTGGTGTTCCAGAATGGCAGGGAAACCACTTTGGAAACAATAGATGGATCCCGCCCTGCTCATCATGTCTCCCATTTGTGCAGGGAGGGGTCCAGGACAGCCACCAGCTTGTACCTTCGGCGGGTTGGAGACAGCAGCCCGCTCCTGCGGCGCATTGCTCGCGCAGGGAGGACACCAGGCTCTCCAGCTCCTCCAGCCTGCTCAGGAGCTCCTTGATGTCGGGAGCGGCGGCACAGCCACAGGCCTGGCGGGGGATGTTGATGCGGTGCGTGAAGACAATCTGGTTCTCCCCATCCACTGTGTGCTCCTGGAAGCTTTCACTGGGCTCTGGTGTGGGGGCCAGGTCTTTCTCTCCACTGGCTGACTCCAGATCCACTGAACACTGGGATCCCACAGGCAGCTTGATGTTGTAGACGTGGTTGAACACCACTGGCTGGTTCTCCTCTGGCAGGCTGACGTTCACCCCACTCTGTCGCTTGTGCCGGATGACTTTCTTGAGGACCCCACCTTCGGTAGACAGGATGAGCAAAGCTAGAAAGACCCCCACCAACAGCCGAGTCGTGGCCCCCATGGTGGAGGTGGGTTTGGCGGGGTGTTTCTGGAGTTCTACGGTCCTAGAGTGTCTCACTCTCAGCAGAATTGAAGATTTAGACGCACAGAGTAGAATCCAAATCAGTTGTCCCTGATCTGCTTGAAAGAATTATCTTCTACAAGTAAACAAAGGAAAACGATAAACTTATTAGTATCTACTGCTAATAGAATCCACTGAATATCTACAAATCCAAGTGAATTTTTTTTTTTTTTTTTGAGACAGAGTCTCACTCTTTTGCTCGGGCTAGAGTGAGTCCCGTGGCGTCATCCTAACTCACAGCAACCTCAAACTCCTGGGCTCAAGCGATCCT